TCCTTCTTACATTTCGGGCATGTCAAGCCTGCCTTCGTTCGACAGACGCAGCACCTTCGATCTGTCCTCCAAATGGTCTCCAAGTACGACACGCCAAACAAGGGCGAAAGTGCAATCCTGGTGCAGTACTTCGCCAGGGGTTTCCAGAGCGGCTCATTGTGCATTCGCTGTGTGTCCCGCCCTTCACCACATGCACAGAGAGGGATAACATCCATTTCGGTTGTGAGTGGGACCAGGCCTTCGCTGATGTACTGGCATGAGTCGAGGTGCGCCCAAGTGCGGCATCTCTCGACGAGAACAGGAAGTAGCTGCTTCCAGGATGTAATTTCGCCTGGCTCCAAAGCGATGTTCATCACCTTTGGAACAAGCTTCCCAAAATCATGCCCTATCTTTGTCATCCGTTCTTCGCTCAATGGCAGAGCAAAGCCATCACAGACCACAGTGTGGGCAGAGAGGTCAAATCGAAGCTTGTCGATGAAAAGGATGGTGTCACAGTTGTTCGTTGCCTTGTCTCGAAGGGCGAAAACACGCTGAGGGGAAGAGCCTTTGGGTTGGATCCCAGACGAACGCACAATGATTGAGTGGATGCTGTCCTTGACGAACATGAGGGCGTCCACGTCTTTCTTCTTTCTCGCCTTTGCCTCTCGGCTCGAAAAGGCAGCACCGACATGTGGATTGAGCCACTCATAAAGCTTACGGGTCTTCAGATTCAAGATGGGAAGACACTCGAGGTTGAGGCGGTGGATGCTCCAAGGCATGAGGCCAGGAATGGTGACTGGGAACGGGTCCACGTTTGCTCCCTCTTGTGTGAAAGACATTCGAAGAGGAACAATGATCTGGATGCAGATGTCAATTCCGAGTCTAAGGAGACGCAGAGAAGATACAGGCCAACTAACCTCGATCCAAAGGGACTTCCTGGCTAAGCGTAATCGGTGCTGCGCCCCTGCGACAGGGAATGGAAAAACGATGTCCTGTTTTCTTCCCCCCAGCACGAGCTGGATGACGTCAAACGAGATCTGCCGCACATGGACATTCTCCGAGGATTGAAATGCTGACTTGGCTAATTCGTCCTCCACATTGATTTTGGTCGAAAAATATTCCAGCAGATCGCACTCCTCGCTGAAATCCGCACCGATGGGGCCTTGAGATCCAATCGGTCCGGAAGCGGAGGGCACCTTCATGCTAACGGAAAGTCCAGACGGTAGCGGTTGCTCCGGGATAACCAGAACACTTTCTTTGTCAAAGAGCCTAGCGGTGTGGATCTCCAGGCGGAACCCAAGAGTCTTTTCATAAAGCATCACGTTGGCTGCATTGCTTTGAATGCCGAAGGTAATCAACATGTCTCGGGGAAGATCTTTGGCAGGACCGTGATCCATAAGCAACATGGATGGCATGATGAATGAGACAACGAGGGGCTTGTTGCCTTGGAACCCCTCTGGCTCCTCCTCGAAATATGCCTTCGGATTCGCAGGCGTTCCAATGGCAGAGATAGTCCCAAATGCTGTGTGAATGGATGAGAAGATGTTCTGCATCCTGGGGCCCTCGCATGCCAGCTTCAAGGGTAGGTGTGGCAGGCGAGCTCCCGGCGAGAACATGAAGCTTCTCTCTCGGCACCGTCAAGAACACACGAACAGAGGAGGGACTCTAGACCATGCAGTGAAGGGCCCGGTACGAGCCGTGTTGTCTCGTCGATAGATGTCTATGGTGTAGACCCCGTGGAGATGAAGTAGACCACAAAAGTCTTGATATTTGAGGGCGTTCACCTTCAAGGGGCTCAGATGAGATTGGTGAATGTCGATGAATCTGTCAAGGACCGCAATCCATTGCTCCCGAGAAATCTGTAGCCTGTTCCGAATGAACTTCAAGAGCAGCACAAAGCTCTCTCGGCTATAGTGCGAAATACTGGCGCGGCTGATGGCATCGAGGGTATTGACACGGTGACGTTGATAGAACGTCAAAGCATCCTCCTCCTCAAAAAGTGCATGGTACAGATCATAGAGGAAAGTGCCCAAGTGCCGTGGCTCGAGCTCCGGAGGGTCGCCGCTTGGTGTCTTCCAAGTCGTGACCTGATGATATTGCCGAGTTGGTTCTTGTGACCGACGCACCACCTCGTATGACAGCAGCTCATGGACGTTCCCACGGCTTGAGTAGCCTGTGATAAAATCGACAGGACAAAGGTGGAAAAGGACAGTCATGACTGTCAGGTCAGCGCAGAAGCGCTTGGCGAAGTCCTTGGGGGCATCTCCGTCACTATTTTGGATGAGGAGAGACTCTAGATAGAGGACGCCGTCACCAGTGCCTGATAAGAGAGGTATGGATGTAACAAGGACATTGAGTAAACCAAGATGATCGTCTAGATTGGAAGTATCAACCACGTCGAATGTAAGTGGGGCGTGCTTGTATTCCTCCTTGTCAAGAGTGATCGTCTCGGCGCGCCACTGACATACAGGAATTCCGGTCTGCACGGCACCCGACTCCCTGCAGATTTGGAGAGCGCGAGCACCAAAGATGGCATCCGCGAAGAAAACGCGAACGACACACAGGCCGCGTTCGTGGTACCTGCGGAACGCCTCGCACCAATCCAGGAATTGGGAACGGATGCCTTTCACAATATCCGAACGAGATGGTGCAGGCGTTAAGGTTACCAAAGATGGGTGCTAGATGGAAGGGTATGACAGGGTCGGTGCCGTAATGAATGTGACAGCCGACGCCGTCTTGACTGTAGACAAAAGTGGGGTTGAGGAGAATAGCTGCAGAGCGCCGAGGCGCAGATACAAATGTTGTCCCATGTTTCCAAAAGTCATGGAAGCACTCAGAGAGCACAGGGAAGGCACACATCATGAGCGGCCCTGCAGATCGGCTGGTGTGCATCATGAGGTGCCCCTGATGATACTGGCGCTGGTATTCTGTAACCCCCCCTCTGAAATTCGCCACAATCGCGTCCAGCTGTGATTTGGGCAATGAGTGCATTCTGGCGTACTGATCCCAGTGCCAACGTAATTCGGTCAGGGTATGTTGGCTACTCATTGGAAGTGTGGAACCATACGAAGACTCCTTCCAGAGTTGCAACGTGGTCGAAGCAACAAGGAGAGCTTGGCATTGAGAAACAAGCAGGGCAAGAGGATCCTTCTCCAGATATAGATGGAAGAAGATGTCGAAGAGGTTTTCGACAGGCTTTTTGTCGATAATGAGGGACAGCAGCAGGACATTGCGGGCTGGAGCAGGATTGAGAACGGGGTGGGCAGTCAAATCGAGGGGAAACAAACCAAGCACCGCAGGCTCTAAATCTACACATGTGAAGTCAAGTTTGCGGGTTGCTGTGGGATACTTCAGCTAGGTTCTGTCGAATTGGGATTAATCGAGTCACTCACCAGTATCATGTTCGGAAAAGAGAGTGTACAGCACGTTTCTCGGATCTCCGCAGCCCAGAAGCAATAGACGGATGTCTTTGTCGGGGGTACATCTCGAGCAAGCGACACGGCAGAGGTGTTCCCGATTGCGTAGAAATAGCGTTTTCCGGGCCAGAACAAAGGATGTGCCATGGTAGAGAGAAGGACTAGAGCCTCGTCAAAGCCTCGTGTTCACTAATGGCGGCGCAAGGGGGTCTACTAAAAAAAATGATTAAAATCCACCGGTACTGTGGTCTACTATTTGGCTTTTGATCCCAACTACTCGGCAAGTCCGAATAACGCGCTGCAGCGCTCACTCGTGTCGCCGTCCCCGCCCGTTGAGGGGCAGGTCGAGCCGCCGACGATCGTGGGCAAGGCGGTGGGCATCGTGTCCACCGCTGGGGCGTACTTCGGGCTGTGGAGCGGCGCAAAATGCAGTTTTATTCGGGCTCTGTTTCTCTTTATTCTCTCTCATCCGCGTCTTGGCTCGCAATCAATCTCATTCTTGGACCCTGCAGCATCATTCTGTTTCTGTTTCTGTTACACCTTACTTACCTTACCCCTCACCTCCAACTCCGGTTTACCCTACGACAAGTACTACTAGTATAAAGTTCCGCGTGGCTGTTTGTTACCTTAAGATGTGTCTATATGTACCTACCTACCCAGAAATCGGATCCATCATCCATGCATTAGCGAACGACTTGGTTCTTTGTTACCCGCATTCGGCTGCGAGCTGTAGTCGTGGCGAAACGAGAAACGCGCCGGACTGAGGGCACCGTCGCGATTGGACATACGATGTGCGGGATCTGCAGCGAATTTGATCTGAAAATGGCGTTACGCCATTTTCAGATCCGGCCTGCAGCCGGACACAAGCCGTTGAATTCCGAGCAGGATTTTTGCGACAGTCGCTGTGTCTGACCAAGGGACGGAACCCGAGGCAGCAATATTAACCCCTACACCACTACGGACAAGCATTACTGCTTGAATATAGGTTCTGTCTGCAGCAGAGATGCACCTCATCACCCTTAGCAAGAAGCGAACTCCGAATCATCCCAAATTACGCGGTCTCGTCCTGTCTGACGCCTCGAGGATATTAGTTGGTTCACTACCTCATTCAAGGTCGACCGTGAAAGTATTACACCTCCCCGCGCTTGAGATTTTTTGCAATGGGGACGGAACCATTTTCGGAAATTTAAACCCCTACACCAATCCGGATTGAGTGATGGCTGCTCTAGGCTGCATCAACAAACACGAAAGAAATTTTAAGTCCTCGCGAGCAATCCTGGCTTCATTTCAAGGCTCGACACCCACAGCGCTGGCGCACATGTTACCTCTCTTGGGTAATACAAAGAAGAGGAATTGGCCCACCGGTCATCGGTAATATGTATGGTTCAGGATCCAGATGGCAGAGATGTCCGGATTGGTGTACGCCCCTTGCGGTCTCTTGGTCCCCGTCGCAACCCAAATACAAGCGCCATCGGCCGATGCGGCTTGAAGGTGACTGATCAAATTATGAGGTTCTAGAGGCAAGGGCACTACGATAGGAAGGTTGAAATTGAACTGGGCGGTCACCGGTATGGATTTGATGTGGCGAGTACGTAGAAGTATATCTCCGGATTGGTGTAGGGTTAACATTGCCGCCTCTCATGTGTTGAAAGTAACGTTGATTTACCGCGGCAGCCCGGGGTTCGATTCCCCGATCCGGAAATCTTTTTTGGCAGGTCTCTTTTTTGTTTTTTTGTTTTTTGCAGTTTCATCTTTTTTCGAGACAAGCAATGCCAAAACGTCGCCAGGATCTCAACACGCTAAAAAGTCTTTTTTTGCTTCCCCAGAGCGGGGCCGAGTACTCACGCTCACCTAGTGGCCGCAAAATAAGGTCAGCCCTATTCTCGTACCTTTCAACACAGTAACGTTGAAGTTGAACTTGCCTCTGTTAGCGATGAGCTAATCTTTCAAGGCTGCCAAAACATAGGGTATACTGAGAACTCCGGTCCATACAGACTGTTGTAGAATGCGATAAGGATTTAGAACTCGGAGCTGCTAGGCAGTGCTAGCTTGGAATGACTGAATCACGCCCCTCGGTTACTATTTTGGAATTCGAATGCCAGGTGCCGATGCTTGAAGTAAGACCAACAGGGGACATGAAAAAAATGACACGACATTGGACCCACGGCTCAGACCTGCTTGCCATAGAAACTGAGAAAGGCATGCTTGATTTTTTTTTTGGTCGTACGGTCAGTAACTGGACAACCAACAATCGGCTAGCCTCCAGCACTGCAACCTCCACGAGAAAGTGACAACAACACCCGTCTAAGTATTAAATACCCTTTTGCGCGGGTTGGCTGTGCTCATTCACATGTAGATATGTTTTGGATCTGTCTGCTCGTTGCCTTGCACTCCACAAAAAAAAGTCAAATCAAATCAAATCAAATGGCATTCATACAATTGTCGTTTCTCGTTCAAGTTCGTGTAGTGAATCTGACGCAGAGGCTCACAATATGTACCTATATCCACTCCATTCGTCTCCTTTCTCTCTTTTCGCGTCCTCGACCGTGTCGAACCGACCATTCTTCTCGTTCAGTTGAGAGTCGTCGGTTTTGCCGATGATTTCATCTCGTTCTCCCCGGTCGCGGCGCGCGTTCTCCGCCCGTAGTGCGAAATGATAAGTCGTCGAGGCAATGATGCCGAACATGATGTACATGAGCACTAAACCTATTGAAAGACAGTGAGCTGTGTGCCGCACTAGAAATCATGGGGGACTTGCCATGACCAAGAGGGTACCAGGGTTTGTCTGCGGCGACATCAGTTGGACTTCCGGGCAATGATAGATAATACCTTTTGCTCGATACTGAACAAATAATTTATCAGAGAAGGAGAAAGGAGTTTTCATTTACTTACCACGTTCGAGCTGACGGCTCCATTGATATTGCCGCTGCGCAAACGTTAGAATTCCTCATATAGATCGGAGAAATGGAACGCACAAGCTGATCACCATCGCCAGGGATACGCTACGCTTGTAGGATCCTAGGTCATTTTGAGATTTGGACCAAATTGTGATGAATTGAATAGACTATACCTTCAACGTTGTTTGATACCCAAGCAATCGAGTTGGCTGGAGAGGCGGGAATTCGACCTTAGCAATCGACTGATATTTGACAAATACGCACGAATGACGGGGTAGATGCCGCTTAAATATGGTTGAATATCAAGGAATTAGCATGGCGGCGATGTATGACGAACCAGGTAGCCATGTACACGGCAAAGTATGATAAAGCCGCATTTCGCGAAGCAATGAGGATTATATATCCCGCGCCCCCTATTCAGAGGCTTAGCAAAGGATAGAGAATATTACGAGAGGACACAGCGCCTACCTATACACAAGAAACCACTGAAACCAAGCCATTAAATGGTACAGATTGCCACCACGTGACTGTTCAACTTACATGTTGAAAAATCCTCGATGACCGTATCGGTCCGCTAAGAATCCAACGAGGCATCTATGGGAGATGAGGATCGAGGTAATGATGGGGAAACAGAATAATCACGTTATGCAGCAGGCAAAGAAATACACTGGAACCGTTAGCAGATTCGCGGGGGTAGCCTTGAATCCTGATAAACATTCAGAAGACATGTTTCAGCGACGAACGTCTATGATTACCGAGCTAAACAACTGTCAGACCGGAGGACACCAATTTCAAGCGGCGACGAACCTGATTGATGATGGAAGGCAGGAAAAGGGAGAACGCATATAATGGCTAAGAAAGAGTCGGAACTAAAACCTTGAGAGAGTCCGACACCTACCATATCGGCCCCGACATAGATTGCCATGCCTAGTTAATGCCTCGTTAGCGGGGATTCACCTTTTGTCCAAAGTTCTTACCGATCCAGGTCTTCCAATCGAGCAAACTCTTCCAGATATACTTCCATTTGAGAACCTCTCCTGCGGCCGAGAATTGGTCGTCCGACTGAAGTCGCCTGATCACAACGGTCCGTTCCGCCTCAGTAAGGAACTTGGCGGTGTCCGGGAAGTCCTGGATAATCCAGAACGACGCCGCACCCGCGAGTACAGTGGCCAAGCCTTCGAGAATGCTAGAGGGAGATCGATCGGTCACTGTCTGAGTGAGTTACAAATGAACCTACAAAATCCACGCCCAGGCAGGCTTCCCCAGCAACGCCTTCCATATTGGAGATTGCGGCCTGAAGCTCAGTTAAAACATGAACGACGCAATTAGACGGTCACTTACGGCAAGCAAACCACCGAATGCACCGGATACCGTGGCCGCCGAAAAGAATATCGCGGCTCTGATCTTCATCAAGCCGTCAGCATGCGAACATCCTGGAAAGCAAGCCCAATTACTCCGAACTCGCTACGCCTGTACCAGCTGCAGATTCACAGAGTTGTCAAGGATGTACAGATATTTTAGAAACCCACGCACCATGACAGGTAGTAGTTTACACCTGGGTAGAGTCAGTCTTTGACATCGCTAAGTATGTCAACTCGAACACTGACCTGGGAATAGCCCGGCCTCGAACGTCCCAAGCATCCACCTCATTCCTGGAATACGGCGGTTAGACACAGAACTGCTACTAAAACGATCCGCCGTACCGACGAGACCACCAAAATTATGGACAAGTCCCTGGACGGTCTAGAAATTGTAAGATGCTGAGCCTCGGAAAACTTGAATTTGAAGGGCTCACCATCATAACTCCCCACAGCAGCATCAGAAGTGATAACCAGATGGACGGGCGTAAACGTTTCAAGAATACATTTGACGGAACCTACTCGACATGAGGAACAAAGAATAAAAGATGATCGAGAGACACCAGCCTCGAAAATAGCATAACTAGAGCGGTAACTTCAGCGATGCTCCGAAAAATTCAGAGGGCTCACCTAAAGAAAAACACCGTCAAAGAAATCAGGTATTGGTCGTCCGTCATGTGGAGGTCCGCTTCCAGATTGTACAACTGCGCTTTTTCAACGAAAAATCCACAAAAATGCGGGGAGTTCTACCTTGGCACTAGATTCAAAGGCTAATAAGTCAAATCGTCGCAAGGAATCGACCTTCAAGTTCTTACTTTCCGATGCTTGTGCGATCTAGGAGAACGAGATGTATCACTGGTTCCAGTAAGGAAAGTAGTAGGTACTGTACCTAGAAAGCTCAGCAGGTACAAGAGACTGAGCCAGCGTCAGAAAGGCCGAACTGAATCAATGACGACGACGTGCCTGAGCCAAGGGATGAGTGCCATATCCAGCTTCCGAAGCAGCTTGCGTTCATCTACACCGCTCGTATCCACATCTGCATTATAAACCGGAGGTTGAACAGGCGTAGCAGTGTCGGACGCGGGGGGGGAGGTCTTGGTGTCCATGGTGGTTTGGGAGAGCCAGCAAGATCATTCGTTTATCAGTCTAGCGTAATGGCCTTATTACGAAGCTTTTCATTTGGTGTTCGGCGGTCAGAAGGCCAATTGAGCTCGTCAACAACATATCAGGCTGTGACATATGGGGTTAGTGATCTTCCACGCTTTCCCTCGACATCCTTTTGCATCCTTCATTAAACATCTGACAAAATTTAAGCAACGTACTCAGGTTGGCTCCATATCTTTCTCAACTGGATGTAAACTTACCGTGGTTCTTCGATTGGCGTGCAGAGTGGGTCCAGAGAATTTTTTCGCCTTTACGCCGGACTCAGCTGACCGTTTCTCTCCATTTCTTAACGCTGTCAGAGGTGGACGCGGTTATCAAAGTATTGCCCCACTCGTACTACCCGGCATCGCGGACTTCCATGGAACGCCGTTGCCTGCCGTGGCTTTGAATGGGTCTTTTTCAAGTGCACCAGGTCGAAGTACCTTCAAAGCTTGCATGCCAACCTCAAGCTGGCAGTACTGTAGGACCAGTACGTCGTGGGATGACATCGGGATCGCGGAGACGGACCACCGCTTCCCAGGTTGAACGGTCGATCTATAATCCGTGAAGCTCCCATCTTTCCCGAAATGGAGACATAAATAGTCTATCTGACATATGCAGAGCGGCGCGTGGCGTCCGCGTCCAACTCGGAGCCTAGGCGGGAACTTCAAGCTGGAGCAAGACGGTTGGTCTGAAACCACAGGACCTCTATATTGTCCCAGGCTTCTTGTCATATCCTTGCTTCTTCAAAAGTGGAGTAACAGCCACCAGGCACCTGGAATCTCTTCTCAGGACTTCCCAGGCTCTCAGGAGGACTTCCCAAGCCAATGATCATGAAGCGGCGCTGATAAGGCTTTCGGCTTCCATCTTTGGGGGCGTGGGAGAACGACAACTTTGGATTGAAAAGACTCACTTTGTGATTCAAGCCTCTGGATCGAATATGGAATTCTACTCTTGTCTATGCCATTCGAAGGACTCTGCTCGTGCGTTGTACTCATTCTGGCACCTCCAAATCCGACCCGTGACGAAATCTGGCAAAAATAAAGCCTTGTACAGGCCGCATGCTGTCATGCAGTGGTTCTTCTATCACAACAGCGCCAAACCCAGCTTTCTCCCACTCACTACACCGTATGGAACCGGATATCAAGGACTCACCTAAGCACTCGGTGCAAATCGTTGAGGAGAAGGGTTCCGTTGAGCCCGAGCAGACGTTGTACAATGCCCATATCAATACCGCTGAAATCGACGAGCGGAAAGTCATGCGCAAAATCGACCTGCGGTTTATCCCGTGGTTCTCCCTCCT